GTCAGGGCCGAGGACTGGGCAGACAGGGACTGCCGCTGGCCATCTCTTCCGTTTCCTTCCCAGAGGCTCATTGTATGCCCTGTTTGAGACAAAGGGGCCGCGCCAGCCCTGGCCTTGGCAGCAGGGGCCTGGTCTTTATCCTGGGCCATCCGAACCTACCAGTGCTCATTCAGCCCACTGGGTCAGCTAGGGCTGGGCAAGTCTGCCACTCAGTCACCAAGGCCCAAGACCATGCCAGCCTCCATGCATGTGGGAGTCACTGTTATGACCAGCCCAGCCCAGCCCCTCAAGGCTGGAGGGGGAGGGAGACCGGAAACGGGGATGAGAGCTTTGATGGAGAGGGGACAGGGTGTGGCTAAAACCAGGAGTCAGCCTAGAGGCCTGGGGAGCTTCCCGACACCTGCCAAGACCCACCAGGGGAACTTGAGGCTGGCAGCTGGTTGTCCTGGGGGAGGGAGGAGCAGGCAGAGCAGACCAGCACACCAGAGCTCCTGAGGCCTGCTGCCCCGATGCTCCCCTTGGGAGTGAGATCTGGACCACAGCGAGGGAGGGGCAGAGTCACCCCCGTGCATTCTAAGACCAGGGCACAGAGCACAGCTGGCCCAGGCGGGCAAAGCCAGCAGTGGGAGGCTCAGCCCAGGAGACAAGGCTCACCACGATGCCCAAGGCTGGGGCGCAGGCAGCCAGCCTTCTCTCTGCCTCCCTCATCCTCACCTCCTGCTGGGGATGCCTGCCGGGCACACTCACCCCCCCTCCAGGGGGAGGGAGGGAGGGACAAGAGCCGCTTCCTTTTATGCAAGGGATAGGACCTTGTGCTCTGTGAGCAAGGCAGCCCCCTGCTCAGCCCAGGCCGTCACCTGCAGCCTGCCTGTCCCATTCATGACATGGGAAACCGAGGCACAGGCCAGGGCCAGAAGCAGCCTGGCAGTGAGTGTCAAGGCATTTTCCTGGGCAGGTCAGCAGCACCGTGGGCAGGGCAGCTAAGGGGCAGTGAGGAGGAAGCAGGGCAAGGAAACAGACAGCCGGCTGGCATCCGAGCAGGCGGACACTGGTACCCTGGCTCACCTGGGGGTGCACTCTCCTGCCCCCATCCCTTAGACCCAAGCTGGGACTTCCCCACAGTACCAGGCCAAGGCCCCCCAAAGGGCGGAGCTGAAGGTGGCAGTCCTCATCCAGAGAGAAAGCCACAGTGCCTCAGTTCCCCCACCTGTCAGCCCGGGACAGACTCATAAGCCAGAGGAAAAAAGAAGTCCAAGGAAGAGGGAGCCCCAGCCTGGCAGCTCCTCCTCCTACGCTGCCTCAGCTGTTCGAGGGAAGCCCCCACGCCCCGCCAGGCCTGTGTTCCTGGCTGGGTCCCTGTGCTCATCTCTCCTTCTGGGCTCGTGTGAGTGAGCCGTTGCCATGGATACCGATCTCAGCTTCTTTGGCAGAAAAGGACTCCCCCAGGGCAGGGCTCTGCCTCTCCTGGCCAGCCCCCACCCCGCCCAAGCCGAGTGCCCAGTGCGCCACGGGCTGGATCAAAGGAAAGAACACAGGTCGGGGAAGGGGACAGGTGCCCCTGAGAAGGCGGGGAAGGGCTTAGTTCTCTCACATAGTCACTCATTTACCAACCGTAATCACAGCCCAGGCTCCCTCCTGCAAAGCGCCGCCACGTCCGCCCTCTGCTCTGCTGGGAGCCACAGGGGCAGAGGTCTCTCTGGTGGCAGGAAGGAGAGGCGGCAGGCCTCAGGGCTGGGGACCCCAGCCTGAGGAGTCCCTCTTCTGCCCTGGCAGCCAAGGGTGGGCTCAAGGGGGTGGCTGCCACAGGGAGCCCGGGAGCAGGAGCCGGGAGCCCGAGGGAAGCTCAAACCACCTGCGCCAAGTTGAAATGCAACTCACCTGCCCAGGAGGGCGTGCACTTGCCCCTTCCCAGCCCAGCAGCGGGGCACACCCCCACCTCCCTGCACTGGGTGAGCCACGGACCTCTGGACGGCAGGGCCTGGTCCGCACGGGGAGGCCTTTGGACGAGGTCTGTGGCCTACCGCAATGTCAGCCACCTGAGGCAAGGCTCATTAGCAGGAGCCAAGAGAGCCTGGCCCTCCTCACCTGCCCTCGGGAGGTTCTCATGGGGAGCAGGAGAGGCCGTAATTAGCTGGGTGGCACTGGGAAGGCTGGGGCAGGAGCTCCTCACGTCCCAGGCTGCAGAGCTGCCCCGCTGGAGAAGGGAGGGGTTTGCAAAGCATCCTGAAAGGGACGGTCATCGACACAGACGAGCAAGGCAAGGGCGGTGTGGCCCGCGGCACAGCTTGAGAGAGAGAGCATGAAAGAGAAGGCGGCATCTGGGACGCCCTCCTGGGAGTCTGGCCTCCTCCCAGGTGTCTCAGAGCCCCTCCCATTCATTCTGCTCAGCCTGGGGGGCGGAGAGGGGAAGCGATCACACAGAAGGCACGGGTGGCGTCTACAAGGGCACACAGCTGGTGGGCTGCAGAGCCCGGGCTCGACCCTGCCCTGCACCGGCCACTGTGACCTTGACAAGCGCTGTGAAGGTAAGACACACGCTGGCTTTGCAAGACTTGCTGTAGAAAAGAAGGCAGAATCCCCGATTAATAGTCTTCATGTTGATTACATGCTGACATATGAGAGCGACCCTGAGTTAAGTATAATATAGGATGAGTTGTACTGCACCTATTTCTTGGACTTTTTAAAAATCTGGCTACTGAAAATGTCAAATTAACATGTGGCTTGCGCTAGATTCCCTTTGGACGGAGCTGATCTATACCATAAAAAAAATGTACAGTAAGGATTTAAAGAATGAGAACCCGCCCCCCTCCCAGTTCTTGGTGGGGCAGCTGGGCCGCAGTGCGAGGTCTTCAGGGGCCAGGTGAGCACACTCATCACAGGGCATGCATGGAGCAGTGGCCTGAGTCCCTGCCTCTGGCCCGGGTGGGCGTCAGCAACAGGTGGGCTCGGGTCCGGGGTGAGCACTCCCCCGGCACTGGCAGAAGACACACCAAGCCCTGGTGGTTACCATGGAGACCGTAAATATTCCTAAAAACTGAACGTGGTGGTGGGGGGTGGATAAGGGAGTTTACTATAGAGAAAGGGAGAGAGGGAGGGAGCCAGGCTTATCCGGAAAGGAAATCTGTGTGTGTCGGGGGTGGGGTGGGGCAGGCAGGGACGCACAGCCGGGCGGTGTTTGCACAGGGCTTTCCGGCCCTTCCTTCGCTGCCCCACGCCCCTTGGAGCCACTGCCCCCCAGCACTCCCTTGTCAGCGCCCCAGCAAGCTCCTGTGTGTTCCCCCATTCTGACAGCATGACACTGGGGCCCAAGTCAAGGTAGGGGCAGATAAGCACCCAAGGCCCCTGGTCCCTGCCTCTGCCCCTGCCCCTGGCAGAGCTAAACAGAGCTCCCCCAAAAACACCGGCTGGGGTGCGCTGGGGTGCGCTGGGGTGCGCTGGGGCGGGAGGAAGCCGCGCCATTCTCTCCCCCAGGCACGGGCTGACGGGTCCACCTGGCACCAGACGGGCCCTCCCGACCTTGGCTTCCCCACATGTGTCCTGACCACAGGCCCCCAGTGTCCTCTGACTTCTCCCCACAGGGTGGCACCGAAGCTCCCGGGCCCCACACGCCACGGAACACAGGTGGCAGGGCTTGGTACACTTGTACACTCTGCACACCTCTCTCCTGAGACCAAAGCCCAGAGCCACCTGGGGAGGGTCCCCCAGAGACTGACACTGCTGCTACCTCTCTACAGCTCCCTCCAGTGGAGGGGTGAAAGGTCAAGGGTTTGGAACTCAGGAACGGGGAAGTAGGGAGCTTCCTCCCCTCCACTTGACTCCAAACTCCATTCAACTGAGGCGGCTGCTGAGACACTGAGAAAGGCACCCAGGGGCAGGTGGTCTACGCCAGGGCTCTCTTCTCAATCATCACAGAGTTGTCTTTAGGGTCTATCCAAAATTTTCTGTCTCTCTGGCAGGTCCTGGGCCAGCACGCCAGGTATCTAGTACCTGGCCCCCTCCCCACCTCCAGGCCAGCCAAGCCAGCTGCCTTTCTACTCAAAGCTACACCATTCCCAATCCGGACAGCTCTGCCTAGGGCAAGTCTCCTACCCCTAGACCCCTGAGAAGCCCAAGAGGAGAGCAGCAGGAGGAATCCCCAGGGCCCCAACCATCTCAAGGGATCCAGGGATCAAACAACTCAGCAATGGGGAAAGAGATGCAAACAGAGACCAGCCCAAGGTCACACACCAAGTGCATTGGGGGCATATCTGAGCCTGGAGCCCCATTCTTCCATGGATCCTGGTCCCATGCTCAAAACTGGTTCCCCAAGACGGGGCCCACCTTCTCCAGCCCCCCAGCCCCAGGCCCCAAGCGTCACGGAGCAGAAGGAGACGTCTTCAGGCCTCCAGCTCCGGCCAGCTGCAAACCGCATCTTGGGTCCCCAGGCGCCGCGGACCCGCCCCGCCCCTCCCTCGGCTCCCGCAGGCCAGAGCCTTTATCAGCCACGCGCTCACACACACAGCGGCGCCGCCACGCGCGCGCACACACCCGGTCTCCCCGGCGCACACTCGCAAGGGGCGCACACACTCGCCGCACGCACGCGGGGGGAGGGGGGGTGGAAGCGACGGAGGAAGGAAGGAACTGACTGGCCATGGACTGACCGACGGCCTGGGCTAGGGGAAGAGGAGCAGAGAAACCTGCGGCTGCGGCGGGAGGGGGGCGCGGAGGCAAGAATGCAGAGCGGCGGAGGAGACTGGAGGACGACGGATGGACCGGCCAGGCTGGCGGGGACGCGCCGGCTGCTCCAGGGGTGGGGACGCCTGCAACCTTTGGCCCTTGGAGCGGTCGGGAGCAATGGCTCTGGATCGACCCCAGAAGCTCGGAGACGTCACTTGCCTGGTTGTACCTGAACAGAGAGCCCTTAGGGACTCCTCGCAGGGCTTGGATAAGGTGGCCTGGACCCCAAGTTCCCCTGGGACACCTCGTAGCAGGGGCGGGAGCCGGGTAGGGGGTTCGCTCACCTGCCACGGTGTACCTGTCCAGGTAGTTGAGCACGTTGCCCAAGCTGAGGATGGCGGCTGCTGCCCCCCGACCGCGGCCCAGACTGGCCGGCTTGGGTTGCTGTGCGCTGGGGCCCTTGGAGGCAGCTGCGCAGCTGGGGGTGCCGGGGGTGCTGGGAGGTCCGGACGGGGCCCGCCTCACGCTACCCGACAGGGTCTGCACCTCATCGTCGGCGGGCACGACTCCTCCAGCGCCGCCCGCGCCCCGCGCCCCGCAGCAACCGCCCCCGCCAGCCCCTCGCTGCGCCCCCCGGCGCCGGCGCCGCCGCTCCGCGTCCGCCTCCTCCTCCTCCGCGCCGCCCGCCGCCGCCGAGGCGCATTCCAGGCACATCATGCCGGCCGGGATCGGGGCGGCGGGGGGCGCGGAGGGCGCGGAGCCCAACCCGGGCCCGCTCAGAGCGTGCGTGCGTCGCTGAGCCGCCGCTGCACCATCCCGGCCGGTCCCCGTCGGCTCCTCGCTCCGGCTGCGGCGCTGCCACCGTTCGGCCCTATGCGCCGCCTTAGCTGCCGCGGCTGACAGCTGCGGCTCGGCCCCGCCCGCCAGGCCCGCGCCCAATCGGCTCCGGGCTCGGGCCACAGCCCCGCCCCGCACGTGCTGCCCCGGGGGGTGGGGGCGAGCGGGCCGCAGGGCCCCTCCCGCCTGACGGGGGCGCAGTCACGCCGGGAGCCGTGCGGCGGCCGGAGCCGGCGAGCACCCGGGGCGGGTGGGCCGAGCGCTGCGGGCCTGAGAGTGGAGGCGCGGGCGGAAAGCGGGACGCCCCCGTACCCACTGCGTACCCTCCGCCCAACCCCAGGGGACTCCTGGCCCATGCTGGGAGAGGGCTCAGGGCTCGAGCCTAGGGTATCTGGACAGCCTGGAGGGAAGGGTCTCAGACAGTTGAACGAGGAGCCCCTCTTGGACAGCCTGTGGCGCTAACAGCTGCTCACACGGCCTGCTTTAATTGGTTCAGGAAGGGCTGCCTAAGAACCACGGAGCAGGACTGGCGAGGGCTTGGCCCAGGAGCCAGCCCTCCACCAGGCAGGGAAGGTTGTGTGTCGCCCCGGTCCCCAGGGAACCTAGGATCCAGCTCTCAGGCTCCCCCGTGCCCATTCCAGCGTGCACCCCCAGATCCTGTGCCAGATCCTGGCCCCTGTGCCACAGAGTGGCAGCCCCTGGCAGGAGAAACAGGGCTCCCATGGGCACCCAACAGAAACCAAGAAGGAGCCTCTCCCACCCAGGCCTCAGACAGCCATCTGTGCGCTCAGGGGAGCACAAAGCCCTGGGTGGAAGACGCAGCTGGGTCCCAGGCCACCACGCTCTGGACAAGACACCCTGCTGTCTCTCGGGGTCTTGGCTCCTCTGTCTGGGGTTAGGTGGGAGGGTGGGACTCGGCAGTGTGGAAGCACAGGAGTGGTCACTCTGTCTCCTCTGGAGAGTGGTGGGGTAGTTTGTGGGCTGGTGACCACCACAATCCATCTCAGAGGTGCCGTGACACTCCCCCTGCCCCTACTCTTCCCACATTCTTCTCTTTGGGGCTTCGATGGAAATTAAAAGCCTGCAAGAAATAAAATACAGAGGATGGAGTGTTAGACCTGGCTAGAAATCTGGCAAGTCCCAGGGCACGGAAATGACTCCATCGCTGGTCAGAGGCAGGGCAGGAGCTGACCCAGGCTCGGACAGCATCCTCTAGGGCTGGGCGCTTACATCACTGCAGGCTGCTCCCGAGCCCGTGTCCACCGGCAGGTGCATCATGCGAAGGTGTTGGCCGCAGTGAGTCATGGCATAGCCAACCTGTGACATAGCGCGAGGCACCCGGCGCACAGTCTCTTGTGAGCAGAGTGAATCCTCAAGCTGGTGTTTCTTGGCGCCTTCGAGGTGTATTTTAAATTCTGCAAAGTGACTAAAAATATGCTTCAGCATGTTGGGTATGAATGGCTGTGACAGGAGGGTTAGGAAAACAGATTTCATTCTGAGAATCGCCTGCTGCCTCTTTCCAGCTTGCTGACCTGGACCTGCAAATAAGATGGGGGGAGTTGCACCAGGTGGCCTGGGATGACAGGTGACCAACAAGCAAGGACGGGAGAAGGAGCTCCTTGGGACTAGAAGGGGACCCCCAGCACTGACCTCTGTAACTGGAGGACCATTGTGGAACTGTGTCTGGTGGAGAAGAAGGTATGACCACACTCTAAGCCCAAATCCGAGGTTCCTCTCCTTCCCCCCAAAATTCATCCTGGCCAGGGAGCAAGTTTTAGTCCTGGACTGGAAAGGAGAGACTTCTCTTTCCACAGCCCTCCCTCTCCTGCGCTGGGTGTGTGAGTCCCAGAGCACGGGACAGAGGCAGAGTTCTAAGCCTTCGGATTTGGAGAGCTTCTGAGCTGCCATCAAGCAAGTCAGCAGCTCCCACTGTGGGGGGTTTCCTGGAGTCTGAACTCAATGTCAGTCTCTCGAGTGGGTCCTTACGTGAGTTGAGGGCCACCACGTGCAGGGTGATAGGGAGGATGAGAAGCCCTTTCTGGCTGAGTGGCCCTAAGAAAATCATGGTGGTCTTCTGGGAGCCTTTGTCAGTGCCGTGAGACCACCGGCTGTTGCCAGTTCTTATCGCCAGCTCCTCGATGATGGGACTGAGACCTGGGAACTCGATGATGGAACTGAGAACCAATGTGCCCAAGGTCGCATACCTAGCGAATGATGGAGCCTGGACTAAGCCTAGGTGTGTCTACCTCCTAACCCATTACTTCCTCTACCGCCCCACAAGGCTACCCTCAGCTTCTGAGGATTCAGTTTCAACATAAAGAGAAGCTGAACTCAAGGTTGGCTATGCGTCACTTATCAGGTCCAGATCATAACCTTGAGACAAATGGAGCGCAGGATAGTCATGGTCATTATTCTAAGGGCAAGGTCAAGGGTGAGGATATTGGGGAAATGGTGGGGTTTCTGTGCTGTGAGACCTTCAGAGCCTTTCCTGGGACAGGGTACATGGGGAGTCTCCCAGAGGGAGGTATTGGCTGCCACGTTCCCCAGCGTGCTTGGTGGCAGGGCACACTGTGGGATTAGGAGTCCGGTCCACACCCCCGGAGCCCATTGTCCTGCATGTGAGTGTACCCAAAGCTCAGGCCTCGCCTTCCTGTCTCCATGGCACCCTCGCCCTTGGCAGCCCCTCACTCATGCCTGGCTCTCAGTGACCACCCTGTGCTCAGGACCTCCACCACTACACACGGCTCCTCGCCTCTAGCACCAGACCCACCTCATCTCCTGCACATTCCCCTCAGATATCCCACAGGCACCTTGAGCTCAGTGCATCCAACACGGACCTGCTCCCGCCCCGGGGCATTTATCTCTTGACAAATGGCAGCATCACCCACATTGTCACCAAGCAGGAAACGTGGGAGCTGTTTCGGACTCCTCCTTCAACTCCCACGTCGAGGGCCTGTTGATTTTTTTTTTTTTTAATATCTTCCAACGTGCCCATCATGACCAACTTAGCTCAAACCTCTCTCCGTCTCACTTGGACCCTTATAAAGCTCAACAGCACCTGCTCCAGCGTCCTCTCCAGTCTTTTCTCCATGTTTCTTGCCAGTAACTTTCTAAATCATGCATATGAGCCCATCACTGTCTTGCGCGAGCCTTCCTATGGGTCCCTGCTGCCTACAGGTTTGCGATGTCCTTAACTCGATCTCCAGGACTCTACATAGCCCTTCCTGGACTGGGATGGTCTCCAGTCTCACCTCCCAAAATTACTCTCTACCACCCTGAACATGGAGCTCCGAGAAGGAACGCATAGTGACTGGATCCAGGGCAGGGGGCAAGAATCAGGACACTTGTTTATAGTCCCTGCCCTCACTTGTCCTACTGATGCCTTGATGGTTCAGGACCACGGACAGCATCACCTGAGCAACCCCCTCCCCGGACCCTTTAGTGGTGCTCTGCCTCTGCTGCCCACCTGGCTCATTTCTCCCACCTTCAACTCCAGAAACTATATGCAGGGGCCAGCACGGTGGTGTAGTGGGTAAAGCTGCTGCCTGCAGTGCCAGCATCCCATATGGGCGCCAGTTCTAGTCCTGGCTGCTCCACTTCTGATCCAGCTCTCTGCTATGGCCTGGGAAAGCAGTAGAAGATGGCCCAAGTCCTGGGCCCCTGCAACCATGTGGGAGACCCAGAAGAAGCTCCTGGCTTCAGATCAGCACAGCTCTGGCTGTTGTGGCCAACTGGGGAGTGAACCAGCAGATGGAAGACTTTTCTCTCTCTCTCTGCCTCTCCTTCTCTCTGTGTGCAACTCTTTCAAGTAAATAAAAAATCTTTTAAAAAGAAAAGAAAAATAAGCTATGTGAAGACACTGCTTCCTCCAGGAAGCCTTCCCAGACACCTGGACCTTCAGTCACTTCCTCCTCTGGGCTGTTGAGTAACCTGTGTATCCCTACAGCATGCCAGACTCATTATGCTGATTATGTTTGTACAGGAGTCCACCCCTACTCCCCGCTACCAGCCTGGGAGTCTCGAGGGCCCATAGCCTGTCTGATTCATCACCCCGATCTAGTGCAGAGGAGATGCTCAGAGAATGTTTGTTGATTGAATGAGTAAATGACATTTCGCAGGTGCTCAGGAAATGTGTGGTGATTTGCATCATGTGTCTGCTGCCGAGTGACTCAGAAACCAGCCAGATCCCTCTCCCGGCCCCTCTAAAAAAGGCATTTTTCTCCCTGATCGCCTCCACCCTCTGTTGGCCTCCACCTGCTGTGTGCCTCCACCCTTTGATTAGCCTTCCTCACGAATCGTCACCCACGGGTGGAGAGAAGGCACCGCTTCTCTGCTCCTGCTGTTGCCAAGCTGCGGGCTTGTTGGAGCCCCCAGCCCCGCCCCCAGCCTGGGCCTGCCTCACGAGCTTTGCTCAGAACACTCCGTCTCTGCTCCCCTCCCCTGCTCCAAACAGATGGCTCCGAGTCCCCCACGAACACAGAAGTTCCTATTCTGTCATTGGAATGTTTATAACATGCTCTAAATTCTAGAAGCTTCAGTCTCCTTTGATCGTGGACTCACATGATCAGAAACGAAGAATCTCTTCAAGGACGCTGAGTCCAGCCTCTTCTCTGTTCCATGGAGAGGCCACCTCTTAGACAGGGCCAGCGACCTGCCCCAAATTATTGCAGTGGGCATTTTGTTTGGGGTTTTTGTCGCTTTTTTCTTTCATTGCTGTTATGTTTTGATGATCAGGATGCGTTCCCCTTCCTAAGAGCATTCTGCTTTCTCAGTCCTCACCCTACTGTAAATCAAGCCGTGGGCATGGGATCCGAGGCAGCCCAGCTGGACTCTCTTGCCCAGGGCTCTAAATCTTGAGTAGGTGGTGAGAGAATAGGGGGAGAAAACACGTGGAGCTCTGGCAAAGACTCCCAAATGCAATGGTCTGGGAACCCTGGTTGCCAAGTCTACCCTTCCCATCCATCCTGTGAGCTCCTAAGGTGCTTCCAAGAAATCTATCCTGTGTAAGGCATTGCTGTCATGTGCAACCCACAACCCAGATGGATGCAGC